TTTTTTTTTTTTTTTTTAAGGGGGTGGGGGGAAGTGGAGACGGGGGCAAGAGGTTTGAACAGATACCTCAGTTTTGGTAGTTCCTTTGATGCAGTCTCGTTTCTATTCTGTAGTCTTTTCTGAACAGCAGAGATGACAGGAGAGCTTCTTCCCTGAAGGCTCTTTCAGCCCGTACTTGGGAAAGGACTTCTGTTCCTGCTTTGATACTTCACTGTCCCCCAGCTACTGTGACTTTTCTTGTCCTTTCCTAGATATCTAAACTTTGACAAAACAAAAAACTAGCAAGCGTCATTTCTCCTAACTTGCCTGGGCATAGTTTGGTGGCTACTCTTGTTCTATTTGATTACAAGGCTCCTACAGGGATAATGATGTATCTGCTTTTAGAGAGCTGTAGCCCAATTCCCAACAACATTTTAAGTTTGAAATAAGATACTGGTTTCTAAGCAAAGACCTTTAACTCCCTGTTTAGTCTAGAGTTAGTTTTGATACCTCAATTCTAAAGCTTCCCTAACAGGAATTAGCCTTCTAATAATAAATGAGGTCTGGTAGGCAAATTATTGCATTCCTTGAAAAGCAGGGAAGAAACTTGTAAAGCTTGGGACCTCTGTAGTTGTTTATTTTTATAAGTAATGTCAAGTTCCACGTCTTGTTTTAGCCAAGGACTTCCAAAACATGCCTTGCGGCATCACCCACTGCCAGAGCCAGGGCCTGAGGTGTGCCCAGCCACACCCACGGCTGGCAACCACGGCGAGATCTCAAGGTACTGTCATAACTTAACATGAATCCTTTTCTGGAGACAATGGCAACACCAGGCACCTTTGCCTGAGTTATCTTTACAGAAGTAATACAGTTGGCAGGCTTGGGCTTTATCTCGGAACTGGATTGTTTCAGAACATGTCCTTCCTATTTTGGAAATAATAAGAAGTGTGAAGCTGTGTTCTGTTCCCAGCTTGCAGATAGCTCGGGTCATCTAATTTTACAGCAGAAACAGGAGGAGAAAAGATAAAAATAATTCCTGAGTAGTATAGAACCGGGACTAGAAGTAGCCTGCAGCTTAAATGAGATAATTTTTTGAAAATCTGTGTTTTGCTTGACCTCTGGACTTCCTATGTCATTGAGATTATTAGGAGTTACAGTTGTTATAATTACTTGTGTACTATGGGTTCTGCTTAAATGCCCCGGAAGTAAATATTTACTCTCTGAAAACTCTGTCATTGCTAAGACCTTTTCTGATCTATCCGTGCTTTTTTTTTTTTTTTTTTTTTTTTTTTTTTTTTTTTTTTTTTTTGTACAGAAAGAAAAGTTTATTTTCCCACTGTTTGTCATTGCATATTGTTGGGGTTTTTGTCTTTTTTTTTTTTTTTCCTCAACATGTGTATTTCAGGGAGTCTGAAATCTGGAAGGAATCAGATTACCCAGTTACTCCAGCTGATCATGGGAATTCATGGTCTGCTAGTCAGAGTTACGCCGACACCTCCACCGAAGACAGCTCTGTCTTCTCCTGGGGCTATGATGTGAGTAGAACATAATCATCCAAGCCAAATGTAGCACAGTGGGTAGAAAGACCTTTTGAAATAACATTGCAGATACATTTCAAGATAAAAATAAGGATTGGATCTGTCAGTAAATCATGGTAGCAATTATAGAAAGAACATCTTTTTTACCTCTTCCTCATCTTTCCTTTCAGTTCAAAATGTATTAGGTTCATATTGGTCAACTAATACTCTGTATTTCCATCTAAAACTTTGGAAATGAAAATAATTTAATGCATAAGTGTCTCTATACAGCATAATAAATGCTGTTATTGTGGAATCCCAAACGTGAGTGTGAGTTTATCAAACTTCGGCATACTTGTACATACTTGTACTTTCTCAAAATATAGTAAGCCCCTAAAACATTATTTTCATGTAGAAAGATTTGTTTTATTCCCTGTCTGCCACAACCAAGTGTTATTGCTTTCTGTGAGGTGAGATGGAGCTGTTTAAACTACCCAAGACCTGACCCCCTTTTCTAGCTACATGAGAACACGTAACAAAGATCCTGAACATTGTTCACTTTCACAGTGTTCTACAGCAGTCTGCGTTGCTTTTTGTGTTGCTCTTGTCCATTGACATTGCAAGCAACAAATTTTCTATTTCATTAAAGTATTGCTGAATTTTATCCTTCCTGTTCTGATTTCTTGTATGTAAATTACTATGTCTTTAACTTATTCAAACACTTTGAAATATCTGTATTAGTTTTTCTGTTGTGTCAGTGTAAGCTTTTTATGTAGGTACCATCAGTCTTAACAGCAGTCTGCATCATCTCTGGGGGAAAATTACTTAAAGTTAAGAACTTTCTATGCAAAAGACATAGAACTGTTTAAATCAGTCCAGCTAAGCTTTAAACAAGTAGTCATCTTTTTCAATTATGAAAAAATTCAATTATAAAAAACCCTCTGAATGCTATTCACTAGGTACTTTTTGGATAAATTTTCTTTCTAGGAATTTGATAAAGCTGCCACACAACAAGTTCAGATGATGTTCAGACAAATTGATGAGCTTCTCTATGAGCAGAAAGAGAATGTGCATGTTGAGGGACTGCGGGAAGAATGCAACCAGTGGACATCCAACTTTCCTCATCTCAGGTCTGTTATTAACAGACTAATGCTAGTACCATCACAGAGCTATAAAAGGGTAGGGATGGAAACAGCTGCTTTTAAAACAGTGTTGACAGGGTGGTTTTCTGCAATTATGTAGGAGAGAGAGAAGATGGCTCTGGTAGTCTGCCTGCCATTGTCATTAATAAATGTTCTGCTATCTCACGTTTGGTTTGAGGGTTTATTGCTCTTATTATATTATTGCTTTTGTTATTGCTACATTATTGCTATTTCCAACTGACTTGGCCTTCATATAGCAAAATTCTCTTAGAAAAGTTGTATTGTAGAGCTAGAAGCCAGGTGCTTAAAATAATACAAAAATCCTCCTACCCTAGTTCAGCAGTCCTTGTGCTGTCTGGAAACCTAAATCTTTGTTACACGAACAGTTTTGTCCATATTCAATTCCATATTCTTACAATTCTTACTTGCTAATTCTTACAATTAGCAGAGCATAAAAAAGCAAAATTTTCTTAATGTATTTACCTGACTCGAAGCAATCTGTACTAGGCAAAACAACTGAAACCACATTTAACTATCACTGAAAGAACCACGTAGCTTCCCAATAGAAATTTTAGGATTTGCTGCTGTGTGTTCTTACACGCTTCAATAATCTTTAATTTCAATGTTTTCTGATTTATTTATCCTTTGCTTTTGCCACGGCAGGGTTGTGGGGAAGCAGATAGTGATCCCCACAGATGAAGGGTACGGATGGTACTCAAGTTCACCTTCTGGCAGTTTAGGTTCCTCAGATGTAAGTTCACCACAAGAAAAAGATTCTAATGAGTAAGTACCAGCGGTTAACCCAGAGCATACCAAGGTAGAAGGTAGTTTTGTTCTCAGCGGACTGCGGCAATAGGCTTCTTGAAATGTGAAGCCTAACTCCTTTCTGTTAGGCTGAGTTTCAAACACAGCACGCTTTCTTTTTTTTTAATTTTTAACAAAAATTAGTTCATTCAGAATAGCAAGGCTGCACAGTGGTGCTTGTTGCTAACAACAGTAAACTGGTCAGTAAATAGAAATACCTCTGCTGCTGCTAAATTCTTAAGAATATGTATGTATTGTAGCTGGTTTCATTGTTAATCATCTATTAAATTTGTATAGAACTTCAAAATTACAAAGCACTACATTAGTACTACTTTTATTATTTAGCGGTTTAGAATGGTTTTTAATTAGCTTTGATTTTTTTTCTGAAGTTTCAAGTTCCTTAACAAGAATTTAAAATATCCAAACCAAAAGAGTTTATACTGTAACACATAATTTGTTGGCCTCCCTGCTGCTTTGCCTTAACTACCATGTTGTCTCTCAGTTCACCAAATGCTGCTGTGTGCCATGGAATAACAACTTACTTTCATTTCTGCTTTCTGAAAACTGTCACCTGTTCAGATTTAGTGTTTTTGGCAAGAAGGTACCTCTTTCAGTTACCCCCATTCACAAAAAGGCTGACCGTTCCAAGTCTCCGACCTTGTGTTCTCCAGAGAGCGAAGAAGGTGAAGATGGAGTCATTGTCTCTGAAGGCATCATGGAGGAGTATTTAGCATTTGACTGCAGAGATGTGTAGGTATTGAATATTAAGATAGCAACTAGTACCAGTGTCCTGGAATTCCTCCTGTTAAGATGCATATATTTGGTTTTGATGTTAGTCAGTGAAGTATTTGATTAATTTGGTTTTTTTTTATATATATCTTTCCTCTAGAGAACTTTCAAAAGCCTGAGGTCACTAGGGCACTGGAATTTCTCCCAATCCATTTCCAAGAACAATTTATTTTGCTAAATTATCTTTCTGATTTTTTATGTCATTTTTCCTCCTAGCCATTTTTTTTGCCTGGTTTAAATATTTAATTCTGTCATAACTAAGAGCCTGCTATGTATTGGCATACTTAAGAAAACTTATTTAAATGCCATTTATTTTTTATACTAAGTCAAATTCATTGATTTTTGTTATGCACTAGCAGTGTGCTGCTTTGATTTTTCTAGTAGCATTTTGGGTGGAATTGTACCTTTCCAGATTCTCAGTGGTAATTTAAAAATTAGAGTGGATTTGGTGCTTGCTAAGAAATAATTACCACTATTTTTATCTTAAGAAGAAAGGTTTAAGGGTGGCATAAATAGGATTCTTTTTGCCCCTTTACTTTATTCAGCCCAACAGTATGAACATATGGTCTGGGTAGGGATTCTGGATGGCACTGTCAGTCACTAACAGCTTAATTGGTTTTAATAAATAAAGCCATTTAGCTGTATGGACCATGAGATTCAAATTGGTAGGTGGCTTGCTTTGGACATGCCAGAGAGACACTGCTGGAGCAAACAGTATTGCTGTCTGTAAAACAATGGTAGAGGATTAGAGCTTTTTCCAGTGGTATCTCCTTTTTTTCCAAGGAATGTAGCTTTTTGATGTTAAGTACTAATTCAGGGAGCAGATGTGAAAGCCCCAGTAAATGTGCTTGCATCAGTATTATTTTCTCCCTTCTGTAAAGTTTCTTTTGGCAGAGGACCACAGACTTTTTCAAGCAGTTGTCTTCCAGGGTTCACACTTGAGAATACCTCTTGCGTTGTGGAAGAGTCTGCAGCAAAGGCCACTTGCTGTCATGAATAATGTTTTTTCTCCCCTCTCACTGATTACATCTAATGGTCTAAAACTAAACGAAGCCCGTTCCCTGAACACCTCCTGGCTGTTAAGAGCAGCATGCTGAGAGTGGCATTAAGCAGTCATGAGCAGTAACATTCCTCTCTCTCACCTTCAGAATACTGTGGTGACATTAGATACAGAGCCTCACAATGTAATGTACAGGTATCACTGTAACTATTAATATTTATTTTTAAATGGAACTTTGATCTTGGTAAACTATTTATTATTAATGAAATACCATTTATAGTCATTCTGTGTGGGGAAACCAAGGTGTGCAGTAATAAGGTGATTGTCTCGGTCATTTCTCATTTAGGTCAGCGGTAGATTCTGGAAGAAATATAAAAGTTCACGTGCCCAATGTACAGAAGCTTGCTGCTTTCAGTATTACACTGTTACTTGAGATTGCCGTTTATTAAACTACCAGCTCTCTTAATACTGTGTGATAAATACAAAACTTCTGAAATAATGTCTTCAAGCTATTTGATCAGCTGCCTTGACCTATTTCAGTTTAACAGAAAACAGAACAGAAATGCAGCCTTAGCTGATGTCTTAATCCTATTAAATAAATGCAACAAAATATGGGAGAGAAAGAAACTGTCTTTGTGGTGCAGCTAATGTTTACATTTTTACAGGGAGGAAGAGTTGCATGAGAGGAAAATGGGACTGTCCTGTGGTAGTCGGAAATTGGGGTTTCCTCCCATCTCTCCATATTCCTGCATGAAGGATTCTGTGCTCACATTTGTGTTTGATGATGTGTGGAGTGAAGTCCTAGGCTGCATGGAAGAATTAATCTGCAGACACTGGGAAGGGTCAGCCTCTGGTAAGGGTCACAGTTAAAATGAAGATTCAGAGGGGTCTTCAGTTACTTAGTTTTGCAAGGATGCAATGAGAGAGATGTATTTGGGAGTAATCTCTTCAGGGGGGAAATGAACGGTTATTTTGCTAACAGTGTGAGACATGCCCTTAGAAGATTTAATAGGGCTTAGCATCTAAGGAGACTCTCTTTAAAAAATGTGGATTCATAACACTGTCCACAACTAGCAATGCCAATAGTCTGTATTTACAGGAATTCTCTGTTGCTTTGCATAGATGATGAGAAAAACATCATAACAGTAGAAACAATCAGGGCAGATGCTGGAAGCCCTTTGCAGTTTGATCCTCTGCCAGTGATGTTACCTCGTGTGCCACCAACTAAAATGCCCTCAGTCACATCAGATGTGGTAAGTATTTTTAGCCAGTGGGTTTGTGTAGGAACAAATCAATAGAGTGGTACCCAAGCAAACGGATTCGAGTGTGTCAGGGGACTGTTTAGATAGATAACTAGTTTGGATTTTGTCTGAATGCTGACTGTCCTTTCTGACATTTAAGTTCTGTTATTTCTCAGTTGTGAGTTTTAATTCCTACTTTTCTCTTTAAAACTTAGTATTTGATATATGTATTGGACAACCACGTGGTGGCTGTTGAATGATGTAGCTCTTTCTACATTTCAATAATGTTGGAACTAAACTGTGAGATCGAGGATTGTGTGTGTGAGATCCTGTTCTCACTGACTTATCTACAGTGAACTCCTCAGGCAATAGAGGACCAGTCTCAGTGCAGCTGTAAAACAGGTTTTTCCAAGACACTGAATTTGACTGTATAATCTGCTTTAGATGATCCGCTCCTGGTGTGGTGAGCACCAGAGTGTTACCTGTTTATTCCATTTTAATTCAACTCTTTCCTTATTCTTTCTTTTTATTTTTCTCCTTTATTTCTACCCCTGCCTGTTCCTCGTGTTCCCCTTACTGTATGTGTAGTGTCCAAAACCCAGATGTGGCCGCAAAAGCAAAAAGAGGAGAAAACCACCTCAAGTATGTATGCTGGAGAGCTTAAAGCTCTGGTATTTTCTATTTGCTGTCATTACGGGGGGTGGAATCTGATGTTTTTTCAGATCAGTCTGTATTCCAGGAAAGGAGTTTACCGTTCTGCTCTTGCGATAAAATGTCAACATACTCTGAAAATTAGTTTTGTAAAGCTTCCAATTATAGCCATTGGTGGAAGGACCTGCCATGCAAATGAGAAGCTCAGTTGGAAAATATGTAGTATGACCCAGCATGGTAGGGTACATTTTCTAAGCAATACCCTTTGCAAGAAAAATGGAATGGTAAGGTGCCTGTCCTAGATGGGGAAATAACTGAGTATATGTCTGAATGTCATGGATGAAATTCATTTATTTCCTCCAAAATTGTTTACAAGGACAAAATCTGTAAATATGTGTGTATGTCTCTGCCAAGCAGTAATTTACTTATTTTTTTTAACTTTCAGGTAAGTCTCTCTCAAGGGTCAAGTAGTGGCGCTCAACGTAATCTAAATGGCTTGATGGCAATACATGGGATCCAGTTGCAGCAAAGGAATCTGCCTGTAATGGAGAAAGCACTGTAAGAACTATAGATCATCTGTTGTAGAGTATAGTGTTCTCACGGTGAGAGGGATTGAACCCAAAACATTGTGAGATAACTTTCTGTGCTGGAAAGCGATTCTCAATTGTTTTCCTGCTTGTTTATTTGTCCTCTATGAAAGACACTACTTCTAGTATAAGTTTTCTGTTTGTTTGCTGCTGGTTTACCAGTTAGTGAAGAGCTGTGGTAGTACTGTTGGCACTAAGTGACATCCTGAAAAGAGATGAAGCTCAGAATGGGCTGGAGAAACCGATTCACTCAGTTCCTAGAAGTGGACTTGTGTTTGATCTGTGTGTTAGGCTATGGGTGAGAAAACTGGTGTTTACAGGATGGGCTTTCTTTAATCTGTTCTGTGATTTATACTGGAATCTTCAATCAGAAAGTTCATAGCTGAGTTTAAAAAATAAAGATAGGCTTTTTTTCCATCCCCTATTCATTTCTATTTTGGCTATAAGTGACTTTATCTAGTTATGTAAAAAAATGAAAACACATCATCTCTATCCACACATACTATTAATAATGTCACGTGTAGATGAGTCCCTTGGTAACAGGGTAGTTATCAGTCATGCTGACCATCTCTCTTTTGGTTTTGTTAGGGACCTGGATGATAAAGGCTCCAGTTCCATCCTCTCTACCAGGGCGGGGCCAGATCGTCCTCTGGAGCTCAGCGCGTCGTCCCTGCCCCGCTCCACCAGGAGGCGAAACCCGCCGCCTCGGACGCTGCATCCCATCAGCACCAGCCGCTCGCGCACCGGCACCCCGGGCTCTCTGGACGATGTCTTCAGGGGAGCTCGATTGTATGTTTCAAAACCAGTTTCTCACTGCAAATTACCACCTTTAGAGAACCCAGGTTATACAGAAAGCATTCGTTTGAATTGAAAGAACATGAATTGTTTGATTAAAGAAATTAACCACCCATTAAAACACTATCTTCCCTGAGAAAGCTGAGTTGCTAAAGCTGATGTTTACGGTGCTACAAGCTGTGATTCAGCGAATCACACACGTATTTAGGTAGTTTTGCACACAAACTGTAGACCTCAGTCTGCCCAGTACAGGCAAAGCAAATACCACCCTCTCTTCCTTGACATCAGCTTGCTTTTTCTTATCGCCTATTTTCAAGATGAACTTAAAAGTCTACAGTTTTCAGAGGTCAAAGTGCCTGATGCTATCCCAGCCCAGGCTGGGCTATAAAGATCTCAACTTAGATCAGTTACCTGACTGACCAAAGGACTAATGAACTCAGCGAACTCTCAATCACATCTAGAATATCTTATTTTTGTTTGGCATAATGATCTGTCTGAATGTAGTCATTTAAGGGCAGGGGGTTTAATATGCTTCTGTATTCCACATGTGTTGTAAGTTGACAGTTTCCTTTTAGTTTTGCAGTTTAACTATGAACTCATCCAGCCTGTTATTGTTTGTCATGTGCTGTTTAGAGACTTGATCCTTGTCCCCTCACAACTGATGTTTCTACTTCTATTATTTCATGCTTCTGTTCCATTTCCTCAGGCTTCAATCAATCTAACAATTATTGACATCTTCCCTTTATTACCGTATATGTTTTAATGTCTGCAGAGAGCATCCTTAGCTCCAGATGTGTATAGAGCTGTGGCTTCTTGATCATTTCTAGCACTTCCCAAACATTCAGTAATACACAGACACCTTTCAGATGAAAAGGCTGTATTTAGAAAATTGAATGCTTATCTCGTTACATTCCTCCTGTGACTAATGCTTAATTCATTTTGTATTTTGTGCAGTTAGATTGGTTTAGCTCCCTTTAGAAGGCTTCTAAAAGCATCTTGCACCTGTTCCTTCAAATACTTAAACAAAACACGGAGCAGGTAGAAGCCTTGTTTTACTCCCAGATGTTTTATTTGACACATGTAATAAGAGCTATGCTGTCCATTTGGATTATGGAACTTTTTTTACTTGCTCTGCTTAAAATATGGCCCACTGTTTTCCAGGCTCGCTGCTTGTCTTTGTTTGCTAGGCTGAAGTTAGCAGTAAGCAGTGCTTCATCCTGAAGTATAGGAACAGAGAGCAGAAAGTACTGCCCTGTCTGGGAACGGGCAGACAAGGTTCTACCAGTGTGTGGTGGCTGCCCATGAAGACCCCTTTAGGTACACACCCCACTCTAGAGGACCAGCTGCCCAGCACACTCCTTCAAAGTGCCCTGGATGAGGGGCATTCCAGGACTTCTGCTGGGTGCTCCTCAGAATCACTTTGCCTCTATGCTTAATATGGAACATTATGAAAACCTGAAGTTTGCGTCAACATATTAAAAAGATTTCTGCCAAACTTCACCTGCTGCAGAAGTCCTCTTTTAAATCTAGTCTCTGATAGTCAGCCCTAACACCAGCATCTTGTAGCAGAACTCTGCAACCGTTGCTTAGTTTTGTCTGCATAATGCCCGACTGACAATAATTGTGTTTTCACAATATCAAACATATAAACTGCATGATTTTTCTGTTCTTACTGGTGTATTTCAGTCCGACTGCTCACGAGCAGCTGAGCTCACCCTCCCCGCTGCTGCTAAGCCGAAATAACCTCCTACCACCTATTACCACCACCAGCACCGTGGCGGAGCACGCCAGCACTGCGGGATCCCAGAGGCAAACGGTAATTGGCACAAGGGTTTTACTATGGGATAGTCTAAAATTGTAATCGCTGCTGATCAAATTACCAAGCCCAGTCTGTTTGTTTTCTTGCAAGTAACAGCAGCTGAAATAGATGCATAAAAATGCTGCATCAGTTTTGACCAGCAGCCCAGACTTGAATGCTTTAATTCCAATTAATGCCAGAAGTTTTTTCCTCCCCCTAAGTAATGTAGAATGATCACCCTGGAAATTAGCTTTAATTCCATGGCTGATTATTTTAAATGTACTGCTGCAATAAGAAAAAGTCATAACTGTTACTCTTTTATGCAGAAATCTCAAGGGAACTCAAGTCGAGCTCACAGTGTAACAGCACGTGAAGATGCCCACCAGCTACAGGAGCAGCTTTTCTTACCTGATCGTTTCTCCCGGTCTAACACAACCAGCACATTCTTGGTAAAGCAAATTATACCAAGTCATCCTTAATTCCTCAGTAGGGTGCTTTAGACAATGTGGGTAAACATTACTGAAGAACCAAGTGTCTCAGCTGATCCGTGCCAGGGAGTTCGCCAGGTGGCCATCCTCAAGGGGAGGGTGCTTTGAAGTTTTGCACAGACATCAGACAGTTCCTGCAGCTGTGTCCAGAAACACGAGGGTGGGATTGTCTTCACAGCTTTCTTCCACAAGTTTGCTGTACTATTATGTCAGTCTTTCAGTATCAAATGCTCTTGGTTTAATTTACTGAAACACCTACGGTACTGCTATCTTGTCCTGTCTAACAAAGTATTTTTATCTAAGCTTCAAAAGCTTTAACAATAGTTTTTAAATAGCTGCTGGTTTGGTTTCTGTGTGTAACTTCAACATCCTTGATTTAGCAGTTGATCTTACAAGCTTTTTAAAATCTGTTTTGAAACAACAGTTTCCAGAAGCAGTGAGAATACCTTTAACTGGCCCAGTGATCATTCTGAGTAGGAGTGTTATAAAAGTATATTTTCTACTCTGTAACAGTTGAACTTCAGATTGATTTAATCCTCCTTAAACTCGTAAAAGTTCTACTTAGACCTGTACAACATTTTACAGATTACAAAATATGTATGTTTAAGTAGTCTGTATTCTAATCTTGATGTTTAGAATTTCTTGTGCAAAGATAAATAACCTGAACTGTCTTTTCAGCCAGATCCACAGCACCGCCGTTCTTGCACATTTATTGATTATAGTAACCAATCTTGGACAAGCAGAGGATCAACAGGTTCAGGTATGCTCGTGCATTGCAGAATTTAGTGAGATTACACAAAAGCTAGGCTTTGGGGACAAGGATGGGTTTCCTACATAGATAATTACAGTGAGGAGGTTTTTCAGAGCTCTGTTTCGTGTTTTAAGCTTTTCATTACACAAGCTTTATACTTGCATATACAGTATATTTGGGTATGGTGTTTTGGGTTTTTTTATTACCACCTAGTATTTTAAATCATTCAGGGAAGCTTAATGTAATCAGTGACAGTGCTTCTCATGTCAAAGTTAAGAGCAAACGTTGCCAATTTAAACAGGGACTAGCAACAACTACTTTCTGTCCAAGGATTTTTCTTCTGCTTGGCTATATAACTGACAGAAATCCCATTATGTCCGAAAGAAATTTACTTGCACTGTATCTGGAGGAGATTGTAGTAAATCTTAAAATTGCACTAGATCAACTCAAAGAATGTTTTAAAACCAGTAACTGTACCAGTGCAATTCACGTGCCTACTCTGAAATCAAAATATGCTTGTAGTAATTTGTAACAATTGGCTGAACTTTCTGGAGTTACTTAGCATAACCTTAAATGAATCTCGTCTAAAACTACTTACTTTTAATTGATCAAAGTACCAAGGCAGCAGGAAGGCATTTTTTGGGTGAATGTAATGCATAGTCTTCCCTTATTTTCCCTTCCTTCACTGCAAAGTCATATCCTTCAATAGCTTCTGGTTAATACACTTTGAAAATAGTCAAATGTATGTGCTTCAGAATCGCTACAGTCACTACCAGGGTTGTGGGTCTTTTTCAATAGTAGGAAGCTACAAGACTAAGTTGCATGTGTGTACACCAGTGTTACATTGACCAACGAACCTTACTTATTTCAGCTTGACCTGCAGAGACGTAGGCTTTTCACCTCACGGCACACCCAAGGTCTAGTCTAGTCAGTTGAAAAGCACGTTGTGCAGAGATTATGGTAGAACAAAAAGTTAACTTCCATGCCCTGGAGTGGCTTTCCTGAGTGCCATTTTTATAACTCTCACCTGAGGTCACCTTGAGCACTCCCTCTTAACTTTGCATTGATGCCAAGTGTCACCTCCCCCTGAAGGGCTGGCACGGAGCAGGGGATTAGATGCACTTTCTGAAAACCAGGTCTGTCAAGACAAGTGACACTGGATTCCTTTCATCGCAGTGTTTTGGGATTCCGTAGGGAACTGTCAGCACTTCCCACGTAAAAATATACTAACGTAGGATTGAAGCTGCAGAAGTTAATGAAAGCTGTGAAAGTGAAGGCAGCAAGTCCGTGGGTGATTAGTAGAGGACAGGAGGGGTCTTTTAGCTTGTTTAACAGCTGGATGGCCTACTACCACTAACAGGAGTGGTACAAAGGCAACGTGACTTTAACAAAGGCACTAAAGTGAGTTTTTTTTAAACAAGAAAGGAGTGGTTCCTACTGAAATTAAAATAAATACCGGCTCCCCCACCCCGCTGTCTTTAAATGCAAGCTGAGTTTTATGACTGCTGAAATCAGTAGAACTTTGTAGACCTGAACACTTCATGAAATATCAAGGAATACAGTAGTTGTCTGCAATGCAGCAACTATGAGAACGTAAGTTTGCCCCTTTTGGAAGGCCAGCCACTGGTCTCAAACTTGCAAGTGTTATAAATGCTGTTGATAGCGACATATTAGAATAAACCCCCAAAACAACCAAAAAAAAGCATTTTAGTTTTAAGCTAAAGGAGATGTATTTGGTACTTAGTTGTAATACCTTTCAGAAGTCTTAAAGCTGTACATGATCTCTGTTTATTAGGTCTTCAGCTGCACGGTTCTCTGAAAGCCCACAGTCGAAGCGGATCAGTCACAAAAAGCAAACAGGGGCTCTGAACGTGCCATGAGGAAGTGTCCATCCATCTCCGGAGTCAGGAACCACCCTTCACTCTCAGCAATGTCAACACTGTTTACAGAGTTTTCAAACACCCTTCCTCATCAAGTTATTTTTATAGAAATCTCAGCAGCAGCTGCCAAAGATCAGAAGGAGTGTACTTAAAACATTCCATTTTCTACCAGTAGAAGTTACACTCCAGTGGAAGGGTGAATATACTCCAGTGTGCAGTAAAGCCCAACTGCTAGAAAATGTAGCTAGTGCTCTCAGTCACTGCTGTTTTCCCGTTACTGGCTCATGTTGTGACAGGCAGGTACTGCAGAACCTGCTGACTTTTCTGTTAGCTCTACAGAAGATTAACCAGGTTTTCCGTAACAGTAGTAATTTTAATTTTAGAAGCTGTATTTATATGTTTAAAGCAATATTACACTATCAAAAGCAAGCACTACACAATACTGCTTCTACAACTCCATTTAGACAAGTTATGAATCCTGTGATAATTGCAGAATATTTTTACACAGTTACAAATAAGGTAGCAAAGAATTGATGGCTTTAAGGGTAGCACACTAGTGACTCTTCCTGTGTTACATACTTATACCTCTTCCTCAGTGACTGAAGACGGTTTGAGGGGAAAAGGACTCTTACTGCATGTAGTTAGAGACAGCATTCAAAGAAAGCACACTGTCTTCCTGGTGAGATATTTTATGGTAATTTCACAAAATAGGACAGTCTCCCTAAAATTACCTGCAATTATACAAGATTTCTGCACTCTGCAGTGAAGTTCCGCAGCCCACAGATGCAATATAGCTTTTAGTAGATGTTTTCTGCACTGAGACAGATGTACCAGCAGTGTTCCCTGTAGTTGCCCCTGTGGCTCCAGATAAGACAAAAACATAAAATATATTCTCAAAATAAGTGCTTAGTTGAAGGCCTTACTCCCTAAACAGTAAACACCAGACAACAAGTGAGCGTAAAGACAAGAGCGAGGATAACCACTTACTGTATGTTAACAGTTAGGACACTACATGAAAACAGTTGGTCCTTCATAATCCACTTAAAGAGCACTTTCTTCTAAATCTCCTTATTAATAATTTTCAAATTACAATTTGTAATAGGAAAAAACTTGCCAGTATTATTAAGTGGCTCCTACTTCCCCACTCTAAGTTATGCCATCTATCAAATGTAAGAACAGCTAATAGTTTTTAATCAGTATTGAAGTTCTTGAGTCCAGTTGATCCAAGCTTGCTCTAATCAAAAAGAAAGGAAAAGAAAGCAAAGCAGCACTGTGCAAATGTAACTGGGTTAGCTTTCCTTTGCATTTTGGGGGGGGTGTGGGGGTGTGGTGTGTGTACTCTGATCTCAATCTAAATCTCTTAAGTTTCCATAGAGATAAACTGATGCTAAAGAGAGGCCTCTATTCACTGACACCATTTCTCTTAACAGCTAAGACTACTGGAACGCTGTACAGTGTGGTATTTAGTTACCTCAAGCTAACTGGATAAGCATCCCGTTTGTATCAGTGCCATTCCTCAGGGACCAAGTTTGTTTTCTGTAGCCCTAGTGCATAAGAGTTACAAAAATAAATAAACTTGAATAGACTTCTAGTAACGTAATGTTGTATTTTTTAGCCAAGAGTTGGTGTGTTAAAAAAGTGAAAGCAGTTTTCATCAGAAGATAATTTCTGGTTTCTGTATAAACGTTTGACACCAAAGACTTCTCCTGGACTGTTAGGTATCTATTTTGTGTAGTAAAAGTAACGTTCCAGTCCTGCGTTGTGCAACGTAAGGATATGCTGTACTCTCAGAATCTTTTTGAAAGCGGCCAGGTAAACAGGAACAGAGTTACCATCCACCTCTGGCTTCCCCCCAGGAAGCTCTGTTAGTCCTGGATGCTATCACTGAAGCAATGAGGACCTTCAACTCAAGAGTAAATGTCACTGTGTGGCTCATAACCCTTTGCAAAATGGTCCACAGAATAAAGCCAGCCTCATTCCTCCGAGCTAGGGTGAGCTGAAAATGAGTTACTCCTCAAATTCCTACCCCTGCACACCATGTCAAGTGGTTTAAAAACAGCTGATGTATTTGCACATCTTACAGGGGTAATTCACTTCCAAACGAACACAAGTGTTGACAAACATAACCAAGTAGCTAATCGCTAGGGCCCTGCAGACTTGACTGCAATGCTACGAAATAACAAGCTGAGCTTTGGAACTCCTTGTCATGGGACATCATGAACCCTAGAAATACAGAACCGACTCTGTTCTGTGGATTTTTAACTTTATTACGTCACTTCAGTGCGTTAAGAGAATTTCTGCACCTTGACATACATGCTGCAGTCTCCTGTTTTTCCTCAGGCATCCGCCACAGGCCATCAAAGACCAAATGCCATGTGGCACTTTGATCCAATGCCGCCACAGTTCACAGTATCACCTGATTTTCAGCTGCTGCATTACCTAAGTCAGTGAGAAAAGTCAACACCATCAGTTTGTTTTGAACAGCTCATTAGAAAACAGAGAGAGGGCTGGGAAAGCAACATAGCGCAGAAGTCTGCAAAAATTCATTTATTAAATCTGCAATTTTCCAAAGTATCTTTATAAAACCAGTTGAGCTGAAGTTCAAAGACCTTTAAAAACAGCAGGAGGTCTGTTAGACAAGAAATGTGTGAATAGCAAAAAGGTAAGGTTTCCAACTCAGAAACGAGAGGAGTCAGCACTGAGGACTCTCATAGGGGAGGGATTACACTGAGTAACCACCAGCCGTACAACGCCCATCAAGGGTTCAATGGAAGGTGCTTCAACACGAGTTTAAGGAACTCGCCACCATCCCAAACCTTACAGCGCTTCCCTACTGCAACAAAACTTCTAGTCAGGCATCTGTTTGATCTTAGCTGAAGAGCACCCGAAGGATTTTAAACAGTAGCACCAGAATGCTTTTTCTTTCTCATTCATACCTCCCAGCCACAGCAAAATGATGCACACACACTCCGAAACAGTAGCCCAGAAAAACTGAAATTCTCCCAAATCTACACGCTCCCATACAAAGTGATACTAAGTATTTCAGCCTACACAGGTCTTTATTTCTTTCCCTTCTTGGCTGTAGTCTTCTTTCCTCCTTTTTTAGCATCTTTCCCATATTTTGCTTCCAGTTGGGCCAAAAAGTCATCCATGTCCTTTTTTCGATCTTTATTTCTGCTCTGGGGGAGGAGAAATAAAAAAACAAACAAAAAAATCAAACCCAAAACTTTTACTGCTTCCCAAGACAGATTATTCCATTGGAGTTAGATAACTATGTAAAATACTGGAATACAAGCTATAAAAAGTATAGTAGCGTCAAGCAAAAGTCTGCTTGTATACTCTAAGCTCTACCTAACTTCCTGAAGTACCAAGACAGAGGTAAATGTGGCTATAAAAATTCACAACATAAGGCTAGGAAAAGCAAAGCAGTTTCTAAGTTTAGACCCAAAACTCTACTGCGATTTCAGGAATGATAAAACGTGAACATTCTAGGAAGCCCATTGGATGACAAGAACAAACAGAAAATGTTCTGAAAAACTCAATTTGAACAGTATGTTTCTTTCCTCGGTCCCCAAGACACAAAAGCAAAATAGTAAGACTTATCAGCTTCTATGTCCTCATGGAATCCCATGGGAAGAATCATTAACATTCCCCAACTACCTAAAACTAGAAGTATTTTGATTGTGTATGCCACTAGGATATTAGAATAACTTTGTTTATTTTTAAAAAGATGCGGGCAATAACATCCATACTATACTCTTAAGTAAAGTACATATAGTTAACATTAAGGTCAGGTTTTAACCTTGGTAACTCAGAAGAGTTGCAAGGATCCAAAATACAAAGAGCCTCAGGGAAAACACAGCTGTAAGCCAGTAACATATTCATCTTCAAACAGATTCAAAAAGCCTTACTTGAATCAGTGCTTTCAAGTCATCTTCTCCACCAAGGCCCAGTTCATCTTTAGTCTTCTGTGCCTCTTCAGCTTCTTTTTCTGCCTAAAACAGCAAACTATTTTTAAAAAAAGTATTTTGTACCTTATTTGACAAAGTTTTATAATAATTACCGAACAGGTTTTTTGTTTTTCATCTGTATACAAACAGCTGCAAGGAAACACAAATGGCCACAGATGACAAATTGGTGAAAGAAAGGCCGTTCTGGCTTTAGTAGTGCAGGATGGTTTTTTGCTGTTTTATAATGCTGAATGTGATGTCTAGCCCCATCCCTGTTCCCCCCACCCATACTTTCTGTCTTAATAGTTATTACATTTTCTTTAACTTAGAGGAAGGTTACTTTGACATGCATGTAACACCTTCCACAAAGAATCCAAAAAACCCCAGGTTGGAGAAGAGGTCCATTTAGTCCAGGATGTTTTTTCACGCTCACCAGAAGGCAAGCATAATGTATTTCTACCACGTACACTTCTTAATTCCAGAAACTCATAGCTTTGTAAATAAATGCAGGGACGTGCTAAACTGTAATAAGCCATGGTGTATAATAACGAAATAAAAGAAATAGGCAACACCCATTTACAACTCAAAAGCCTTTCAGAACAATTTAAAGGGGTGGGGGTGTAGAACACAGGTGACCAAATGGGAAAGTCAAAGATACCAAGCAAGATCTGTAACCCAGCAATCCCGTGGCAAACATTTGTCTCAAGAATGGTTCCATTTATTTCTACCAAGGGAGATTAAAAGCTTATCATTAAAAATGCTTCCCTATAGTCCCTCCTCATTGATATAACCTACCCGCCTTTTTCTTGCCATCATTTTCCGCTTAGGCTCTTGTACAAAACTTTTATAGGCCGGGACTTCTCCAGCATCAATAGCTTTTTCTATGATCTTCCGTATTCTTGGTTCATCTGTATAGTGCACGCACAGCACAGACTCCATTATTCTGTCCATGTCCCCTTCAAAATGTGTGTATGCTGCTTTAATATCAGCTAGCTCTTCTTCTGAACCTTTGTAACTCTTTTCGAATTCTTCAATATCTTTTACTGTGATCTGAAGCAAAGAAGGGACATTTCTTGAGTTACAGGCTTTATCCACCAGAAGGATTTCAAGAGATGGCATAAAAAAAAACCCTCAAACAGTGTTTTACACAAAGCTCTTAAGGGAGACACGACTGCAGCTGTGAAGCAGCGAGCCTCCCCTTCCCTGTGATTCACAGAAACACACTCTACAACTCAGGAGTTATACAGCAGGTATGTTTACTCCAGCGCTGGGGTGCAAGGGGATTTCTCCATAAAGCTTGCACCCCAACAGCACATTTTACCAAAAACTTATAAAGTGTGGATACACACATTAATTGGATTCCATAACACAAATATCCATATGCATAAGCGAGGCTGGGTTAGCTCTGGAGGCTGGTGTCAGCAGTTCATGTTCTCTCTGCACCTGGGCACTGCCTCCTGGTGAGTGTCTCCGGGGCTCTGTTGGAGGAAGGCGCACAGTCCTCCTCACCTTGTACTTCTCCTCAGGGCATGCGCTGATTCTTTTAGCCAATTTCTTGAATGAGGAGTGGTTCCCGCTGGTTTAACACCTCTACCTTATCTAAAAGCACCAGTCTATTAATTTCTACCACCCACACATGGCTATCTATCCATGACAAAGAAAAAAAAAAAAAAAAAAAAAAAGGCAAGGGACTTCTATGTGGCTTTCCACTTCCCAGTGGTAAACGCAAGACAGACAGAATCCACCAACCACTGAAAAAGCTTGCCCGCCCTCTAAAAATGCAGATCCTCCAAAATACCTGTGAGACTTTCACCAAGACAGAGACACCCCAGGAAAAAAACAAGAAGCTCTTCAAAATACCTGTGTTTATTACATCAAAACTCAAGAGTTCCAACAGCTCACACAATTTCTTTTCCTTCCAGGCTGTCCTGAATGTGACAACAGGAAAGCAAAAGTGTTTGCATGGATCCAAACAAAACCATGGAATAAAAGTCCAGTAAAGATACGTTTATAAAAAACTCATGTGGTCTTTAATTAAATGCAACGTAAGTGTAATACACTGATTGATACGTAAAAAAAGACGGATACATCAAAGTATTTTATGTTTCTTGTGCCTTTTGTTGAAATGTAGAACATTTCTCTTCACTGCCAAGACCATGGAGGGAATAAAACACAGCATTAACTCAGATTTCAGCTCCTATTTACAGCATGTAGATGGTAACATTGTAGAATATTCTTGCTTTCATAAAAAATATCTTATAAAAGCTAGCTGTTACCTACCATTACTGGAGAGCTCTGCTAATGTCAGTGTAAGTATTCACAGCTTCATTAACCGGTTATTGTGGTACAGTTGAGGCTACCCCTGCAATGATTATTTCTGCCAGTTCCGAGAGACACTGCATCCTCTCTTACCTGACCACTGCTTTTATTTCAATGGGCTTTCCAAATTTCAGTGCTAATGCAGACTGCAGCATTAACACAGCAGGATAAAGACATGACAACCAAAGGGCATTAAATACAAATTACTTAACCATTTTATTCTTCTGATTTTTCCAATTGCAACTGTGCCTTGTCTTCACGTGAGGAAGCTTTGGCTGTTTCAGCTTGCTTCACAGTTTCAACAGTTTTCTTTTTTGGCTTTTGCTTTTTGGAACGAATCAGGTCGTCACGTCCCAGTTCAAGCATTTTTGTTTCCCACAATGTCATTTCATTCTCGTACCGAACCTTATCATCTTCAGCAAGCTGCTTGTAAGGCTGGAAGAAAATGAGGTACCAACAGTTAGGGAAGGGGCTCTGTCAGGACACCTGCCATGTCACATCCTCCCCTTTCATACAAAGGTGACTTACTACAAGACCCATGCAGGGCATATCCCAGGTGTTCACTTTCACCCCCCAAAAATTTAAAAACCACCCAACTTGCACAAAAATATGAAACCTTAGCATTGAATTAAAGTTACGTCAACAGCTGGCCCATTCCTGAAGAAGAAATGTATTCGGTATTACTAACAGCTCAGGCTTTTTATTTTACTAGTTTATGAAAGCTGGCTTATGTAAAGAACAGGAAAAGATATTTCTGCAGAACTATTATTCCAAACTATTTTTCTGCAGAAAAAACCATGAACCTAGTGCATGTTCTAGGAACACATTCAAAACAAGATGGAAGAAGGGCATTCAGGAGGTGGGACAGTAAGGTACAAGAATACTTGAAAATCTGGAGGTTTGGGTTAAATTTCAGTATAGCACCCCTCCAATTGTCATACACCTATCTGTAGGTTTGTATTTCAATACACTGAGAAAGCTGGCAAAAAAAGGATCCCCAAGACAACCAAAGTTAATAAATTACTATATGCACTTGGAGATTTCTGTTGCTTTTACCTGTCCAAAGTCTTTCCACAAGAAGGAAATGACTGTGCTGGCATTTAAAAATATATTATTAGAAAAAAAACCCAAATTGTTGCAAGTTTTTCCACCTTCCTCCCTAGATGCCACTCAGCATCCATTCCCTGGCACACAGAACTTCCATTCTATCCCACTGACTCACATTTCATCAACACTGTGAAAGTGGTCACTATTGGGAAAAAAGTAATGACAATCTTTTTCAAGACATAAATCAGATCTCAGGGTATTGTCCTCAGTATTATATTTTGAGCAACCAAGTTCAAGATTCTGTATGTATTTATTATTTTTGACTCATATTTGTCATTTTCCCATTAGATGGGAGCCTCACCAAAACCCACTGACATACCTGCTTTTGAGAGTCGGACAGTTTTTGCCAGGCATCAAACAACTGCTTCAACTTTCCCTACAGGATACAGAATACACAATACATTAGGATTATTTTAACCACAGACTGACCACAGAGGGTTACAGATGAACGCCACGCTAGTAAAGCCAAGTACAAACCAATGTGAAAAAGCAGGAAGTCATATGGAATTAATATTCCACCCTCTTAATGTAGGTAAATGATACAGTTCAACAAGTTGCTGGGCATTGCTCAAGCCACATTTCCAGACAATAAAGCATGAAGCAGTTTAAGTTACTTAGTCTGCTACAAAAGCAGGCAGACAGAAGAGCTGAGCTCATTTATAGCAGCACGACGTCTCACATTGGTTTCATTTAAACCAAGCCCTAACTTAAGCCCAGTCCACAGCAGTATTAACTGTGTTTGTAGGAAACGTACAACTTCAGGACTATTTTGCCACATGTGTGTCACACCGGGTCTCAGCTGACTGGAGGTGCTTGCCTTGCACACAGAAAACCCAGGAGCAAACTATTTCTGCCATCCTGATTTACTGACTAAATACACAGAGTAAGGGACATATTAGGCACACAGGGGAGGTCTTCAAGGGTGGTAATCCACCAGTGTAGCTTGAAACACCCCAAAGGTCAGTGCAGAACTTGTGACTTTGCTGAGAAACTTATACGTTCCGTAACATCAACCCTGCTACAGGAGGTACAATAACCACTACTACAGAAACAGTAGCAGACCATCACAGCCATTTGAAAAACCAATCTATTTCTGCACCAAAACAAAAAGAAATAAAATTCTCTCCTTAGGGAAGGAACAGATGAAGTCTGTAACACCGAAGTGCAAAAAACCAGCACAAATATTTTAAGTCTGTATACCCACACAGCAGTTTATAAACTGACGTGCCACCGGCAGTATAGCCAGATCACCACGGCTTAAAAAAAAAATAAATTAACCTAAGCAAAGCAAAATCCAGATACTGTACTACTGAAGTTTCTTTGAAAATGACAGAATCTAAAACAGATTTTCTGAATACAATAGATCTGTTTTAAAGAACAATCTTTCCTGACTTACCACAGGTGTAATTCCCTCACTTTCTTTAAAGTGTTCTGCCACAAAAACGTTAAAGGCATTACGAGGTCTTTTAGGTTTTCCAAGCAGAGCCAATTCCTTTAAAAATGAGAAGAAAAGTTATTTCAATCCGCCAAGCATGCCTTTTTCCAAAACTAAACTTACCATTTGTCTTTATATTTTATATAAAAATCAGACTCAAATTCATTTTTTGGTGTTTTATTCTGTAAACTGGACTGTATGTCAAGGTGCTCTTACCACCTGTCAGTACTTGTGCTAAATTAACTTAAGAAAAGCTAATGACCTGAAGTTTCACAGACATTATTTAAAAAGAAAAAAAAAAAAAGGCATTTTGAACTGATTTGTACTTCAGCTAAGTCTTCCAGAAACCAATGAGTGTTACTAAATTCCAATCAGCAAGAAAGCCATGATGACAGGTTTTCTATTATCTTCGCAAGGCTTTGGTTTCTAGTGTGAAATGCTGTGTATTTGCAGAGTGGAGGGCTGATACCCAACTCTGTGGGAGGCGAGAAGGTTGAACAGAACCAGCAGATTTCCAGGGAAACAGAACTAGGTTTCTGCTATCAGAACGCAGTTGCCTACAGGGATGATTGCTAGAGAGGGAAAGTACAGCAAGTTATGGATGCAATCACACTTGTTTTCTCCAGCCTGGGTGCTGCAAATTAACATCTGCTTAGGTATTAGGTATGCCAGTTAAGTTCCTTGTGGTGCCATACTCTAAAAAGGATCAGCAGAATCACTTGGATTAAAAACTTCCTCTAAGTAGGGGTCTTTTAAACCAAATTAATTTCTTCTGCCAATCAGGGCAAAGTCACACCAGCAGTTTAATTTGCAGAAATGAACAAGCAGTAACTCCTCTGACTGATTCTGTCACTGGACAGACCAGAATATTGTACCTTTACAGATGGTTTTGTCTCTCAGGATTTATATATAAACCATCTAAAAGGGAATACAGAAGACAATCTTTATGAGTAAGTCAATAAAGGACACTGACAGACATGCCTCTGTGCAGGCATGATTCAACATGTCAGCAGCTACACAGGTAGCAACGTGGTAGTATCCAAAGAAATGAAGGAAAAAAGGCTGTTTCAAGGAGCTACTCCCTTGTAGGGGCCACTGCAGATGTAACAGACTTGTACAAGGCCTTTGTGAAAAGCCGGATGTCTTCCCAACCAACCAAAGTGCTGCTTCAAATGTCTTTTATAACCTATCATTCCTCAGGCAGCTTTAGGAATAGGAAGAAAAAAGCACAGAGAAGCTACCTGTGAGCACAAAGACATGTGCTAGTTCTGGTCTTCAAAGACAGAAAAGCCACTAAAATAATTGCTAACATCAGCAACTATTTTATTCCAGAGGGGGTTGTGTTTTGTTTTGCTTTGGGTTTGTGTCTCATTTTTTATTTTTATTCAGAGACTTGCTTTTGTATTTCTTGACATGTCTCACCTTTGCTCTGTGCACTAGACAAACAGACTTCAGGTTCCTTGAGAGAAAACAACCTCAGAACTTCAAAATACTTACTTTTCTTGTCTTGCTCAATCTTTTTCTTGCCTGTTGTCTTCTCTTTTCTTCTCTCAAAGCCTCAGCCTGGGCTGGAGTTAGCTGTGCTTTGTATGTGGCCAACTGCTTTTCATATCTTTTCCAGTCTGTCTTTGTAGCTTCCACATAAACCTACAACATAATCGCTCACCAACCTTAAAACTGATGTTTTCAGTCAGAAGCACGTGACTGTTAAACAAACTAACACTTCTAACCTACCACTAAAAAAAAAATTACAGACTTCTCTGGAACATAAGATTTTTTAAGTAAAGTAGCAATTTCTGATCTGTTTAATTAGCAGAATGGATTAAGAAGAACTCAGATTAAAAACCTGGGCTCTTCCCATAAATCAGTTAATCTGATAACATTGGATGAATCCTCAGGTGCAGCTCAAAGCAGTAACAATCTTCCATACAAGGAGGACAAGCTGAAGCTTGGTTAACATGATTACTCTTGAAGTGCGTGTACCCACTGCAGCACACAAGTGCTTCAGTCACCAAACACATTCCTACACCAGCCAACACCAGGTACAGAAGCATCATAAAATCATGGCCTTGGTACCAGAGCACCAAGAAGAGCTGAGCCAGGCTACCAAGCATCCAGGTAGACTGGAAAATCACTATCCTATTCTCCATTTCAGACATACAAATGAAAATGCATATTTTATACTAAAGGACATAGAGCCAGAAGTCCAGACATGATGTAACAGCACTTCAATGCTATTGAACAAATATTTATTGAATCTTGAACATACTTTAGCTAGAAAACTGCAATCAGTTCATAACTGAATCTAACGGCAATCAAGGAGGAACAATCATTACTTTGCTATAAATGGCACTTATATTCAGCAATGATGAGCAATTCATGCTTTACATTATCCCTTGAAATTGCCACTCTTAAAATAAATTTCACTACCTATGACAAAAAGTAAGTTAGATAAAACTTAAAGGGCACGGACCTGCTCGAGCAGGGCTAGAGGAGGCCATGAAGCTGGAGCACCCCCGTGAGGACAGGCTGAGAGAGTTGGGGAGTTCAGCTGGAGAAGAGAAGGCTGTGGGGAGACCTTAAAGTGGCCTCCCAGGGCTGAAAGGGGCTGCAGGAACGGGGGGAGGGACTCTTGATCAGGGGGTGTAGGGATAGGATGAGGGGTAATGGTTTTAAACTGAAAGGGGGCAGATTTAGATTAGATATGAGGAAGAAATTCTTCCCTGTGAGGGAGGTGAGACACTGGCACAGGTTGCCCAGAGAAGCTGTGGCTGCCCCCTCCCTGGCAGGGCTCAAGGCCAGGTTGGACGGGGCTTTGGGCCACCAGGGCTAGTGGAAGGTGGCCCTGCCTGTGGCAGGGGGTTGGAACTGGATGATCTTTAAGGTCCCTTTAAACACTAACTAGTCTATGATTAAAGAAAGTTACCTGTAAATTATGTCTCTGGTTACTATCTAATCCAGAGGAAAAAAAAGTTGGTCCTTTCATCAAAATTAACTGAGATTTCACCTAACATGCATATGAAAGCAGAACAGCTTTACAATACCTATGTCATTATACACGTAATACACACAGAGATACAATTAACATTCAAAAAGAAATACTGGTTTCCAGCCCTACAGCCACATAAAGTGAGATCTGTCACATCTGCTTCTCTAGCAATAGATTAAAAATACTAAACCCAGGGTCATGTGTAGAAGTATCAAAGTATCACCATCCCCTGAATACTTCAAAGTTCCCAATCCTCTTCAGAATTGTTTTTGTCTGAATCTTTGTATGCAAATGCTTTCATTATTGTTTTAAAAAACCCCACAATGAACAACAAAAAAAACCAGAACACAAAACAAAAAAACACAGAGGACACCAAACCAAGTAGACCAACCACCAGGACTCTATAGAGAGTTCAAAGTACATAAGGCAAAGATGCAAACTTACATGCTTCTGTGATACTGGTAACACCTTCCAAGCACCTGCTATTTTTCTCATCAGGTCCACACTGCTCATTTCTGTACATTAAAATTAGAAAGCAAGAAAATAAAGATCACTATTGTGTATTGGTACGGTTCTTCAATTTTTCCCAAGAAAAGCTGTCACTAGTATCTTTTTCCTGTACAAATAAATTTTCCTCCTTTAATAAAGCTAACTTTCTGTGGCAGTTAAAGGGAACTGTAATACTGGGGAGGGGAAGAGTCCTTGCTCTTGGTTCAAACTCACATGAAACACGTAGTTGTAAACTGAAGCACCATTTCAAGACAGACTGCTATTACCATTCCAAAACTTTCTTCTTCTTTTTTTTTTCTTTTGTTTTGTTTTAGGTTGGATCCTTCTGTAAACAATTCAGGATGGTCTGAACTTGGAGGGGACTGGGGAAGAAACTAAAAGTAAAATTTTCAGTTCTCAGGTTTTTGGCAAAACCAGCTGAGTTTGGCAGAACCTGCTGAGTTCTTCAAATCAAGTACAGTGTGACCTTATCCACTTGATATAGCATGTATGCTTGATTTTTATTCTAATAATGTCCTTTATTTCCAGTATTATTCAACAGCATTAAGGTTAAAGAAAAAGTAATTTCCTTATCCCACAAACAAAATTGCAGTGACTTGAATCTGCTTTGGTTTTCAGCCTTCAACTCTGGCCCTTGCACTACAGTCACTTGATGAGGTTTCCTGACAGACCTGAATTTGCCAAGGGGGAAAAAAACCCCAAAACAACAGAAAACCAAACACAAACATAAAACCCTTTGATAATATAATGCTTTGCCAATGATAAAAGAAAACATAAATTTTCAGGTTATTTCTGAATGTTACCTCTGTTGGAACCAGCAAGCCCAAAATTCTCATATGAGAACGTTGCATATGAGATACAGCACATTTACTTGCAAATTATTCAAATTTTGGAAATACATGGAAAACACTACTGTGTCACTTTAGCTACAATCAGCTCTGCAAATTCAGTTCTCAACCTTTCAGCCTGCGGAACTCTTTTAACTACTAAGCGAAACAGGGTACCAAATGGTTTTCCCTACTTAAATTTACCACGACTTGCCCAATATGACCATAGTTCTTTAAACAGTTTCACATTTATTTCAACAGTATTTTCAAAATGGACACAACTTTCTACTTTGCTGCTCTCTGACAAGAAGAGTGACTGCAATGCCTACAAATGAAGTTTCTGATAATAAATTAAACGTATTCACAGAAAACCATTACTTTATCACCCATGTACGTTGAGGTAATCCAGTACATGCAGCTTTTAAGTTACTAAGTATCAAAATTAAATCATATACATCAATAGTGTACTTAAAATACATAGATTTAAAAATAACTGAAAGGCACAAATCATTGTTAACCTGTACTGTCCAGGTGAGCTCTTTCTTCAAACCTTTCTGAAGTTACACACAAATGTTCATTTTGAAGTTATGTGTAGAAGACTAAGCTAATACACGCACGGGCAGTAAGTACGGCAATAATGAATCTACCTTCGGTACGCTACGGGTGACAGGAGGGTTTTGGTCTCCTGAAATCACGGTAACGTACTTTATGACGTTTAGTTTTACGAAACAACACTTTGTTCTGGTTTTCTTTTTAAATCACGCATTCTGAGGTGAAATCACCGTATGTATCTGGAGTGACGGCAGCTTTGCAGCAAGACTCCTGACACCCTCGACGTGTTAAGGCTCCGTATTTCTAAAAGGAAACCAAAGCCAACCGCGAGCCCTCTCGTACCTGATGCCGTTCAGACCTCGTACCTGGATTTTTTTGCCTAAAACCAGGAAAGTTTTCTTTCAGGAAACGAAAATAGGCCGTTAGAGGCCGCTTCGGGCGCTCGTCCGAGCTGATCCCGCTGCAGAGGCACTTCGCCGAGCCGATGCCGGAGCCCCTGTAGACAACGGCACCACCATTACCGCCGCGGCGCCCGACTCGCCCCGCGAGGCTGCTCAGCGCACAGGCGCTCGAGGGCCCCATCC